CGGACTTTTGCTGCGTATGGCACTAGACTTGCGAAATGCAAATCAAAACTAATCAGCCAAGCAAGATGTGAGTCTGTTCCAATAATGATAGGGGAATCATTTTTCGCCGCAGTCCAATGCCGTGAACAACGTTTCCCAGTGCGTCAGCTAATTTTTAATGGTCAGGGTACCACGATCACGAGCCCTGTGGTAGGCATTATAGGCTAGGCATGAGAGTTGGGATTTGCAACAAGGTCTTGGGCTAGGCCTCTATACTATAGTAGGAGGCCTGGTCCTAGTCTAGGCCTATAATATAGTAAAATTCTGTATAAGTAGTCATATGATTACAGGTATATATTGTACCAAGGTCAATATTAACGATCGCATTTATTTTTCATTGAAAATTTAAAAAAAAAATTAAAAAAAAAAAAATTTAACTTAAGAATTTTAAAATATTCAAAAAAAAATTAAGTTAACTTAAAACACAAACAACGCGATATGATATGAAGTTTGCGAGAATAATTGGTATACTTGTACTGTATTTTCTGAAGCGCCGTTCGTTTTGGGGTTGCTACAATCAACAGTTGTTATAATCAGTGGCGTCACACTCGGGCGCTGACGGAGGGAGGGGGCGCCAGGGCCCCCGACATTGTAGTTTAAAAAAAATATAATATAAACTATAATACCGTATTTTCATTCAATGGGGCCCCGACAGTTTTAAACAATAAAAGCTGGGTTCTGATGTTTGAAATCATGCTTCTGATTTTGTGATCAATCTGCTTTTCATTGTATATAGGCCCTACGTTATTAAAACATTTTTAGTTCTCACTAAAATTGGCCTATTCTCTGTATTTATTTACACCTAGAGTACATAGGACTACTGAAGGCCTATACCAGTCCGAAAGTCATGAACCATTCTATGTTCTCTAACAACGGAGTTAACAGTTAATTTTTCAATCTCCAGAGAAATTTAAATAGCATCCAATCCTCCTTTTTGGAATGTAAGGAAATAGATAGTGCACTTCCTTTGTTGGATCGATTGTAACTCCTGATTGTACCAAGGCAATTCAACAGAAGGACACACATCTCGGGACATCAAAGGTTATAACTCTGGCATCGACATTCTAGCCGCACGTGCGTCCCTACACACTGAACGTCACAAAAACCATAGCAACCAGACCATAAACCGCCAGCGTACGTGACGAATTACCCACGTGCGTGTTAGTTGCCATGATAATCGCACGTCGTGCGGTGATTACAAAGGCCTAATGATATTTTGCACTAACATTAGACTGAAATATATTCTTCATTTCAACATTAATTTTACCAAAATTGTGGTGAATTGTCGTTCATGAGACTCACATCACAGAAAAAATTAATAAATGTTCTGTATATACTCAAATGTTTGTTTTCGGCACCTTATGCCAACATTGTCAAAATGACAGATTAATGTTACATAAGAACATGAAATTTTATAAAATTCGTAAATTTTAAATTGCTATAACTTTTCATTTTCTTGGTCAATTTTTACAAATCAAATTGCAGTTTAAAGAAGCATTTAACAAGCTCGCGGTCAAAAAAATCAGATGTAACAGACATTGCGAAGTACCCAAAATTAATAAAGTAAAAACTAACACTATACAACGAATGGCACGCATAGACTAAGAATTGACGGATGTACTCGCAACTAGTATCGGATTGTCGATGCCACAGTAAAGATCAAAGGACTCAGTACGCACACGCTATGTTCGAGAGCGGAGATGTGCATCCTTCTGTTGAATTACCTTGATTGTAGCAACCCCAAAACGAATGGCACTTCAGAAATGCAGTACAGTATACCAAAACTTCTCTCAAACTTTATATCCTATCGCGTTGTTTGTGTTTTAAGTTAACTTTATTTATTTATTTTTTATTTTATTTTATTTTTTTTTTAAGCGTACAGGTTTAGAATATTTTAAAATCCTTAAGTTAAATTATTAAGTTTTCTTTTTATATTCAATGAAAAATAAATGCGATCGTTAATATCGATCTTGGTACAATGTAAACCTGTAATCATATGACTACTTATACAGAATTTTACTATGGGCCTAGACTAGCAGACGCACTGGGAAGCGTTGTTCACGGCATTGGACTGCAGCGAAAAATGGTTCCCCCATCATTAATGGAACAGGCCCACGTCATGCTTGGCTGATTAGTTTTGATTTACATTTTGCAAGTCTAGTGCCATACGCAGCAAAAGTCCATTTCTAGCGTTGTTGTAAAATGCATTTCAAACCAGGCTGGTTTTTAATTTACGTTTTGAAATAGAATTTGGAGAGGGCATTTGATCAAGTCAGACCTACGTTTTGAATTTGAATTACATTTTAAAGAAATTAGAACTACATTTGGAAAAATTTGAACTACGTTTTGAAAAAGTAGAACTTCATTTTGGGAAACCAGATCTACATTTTGAGAAATTTACGCCTACGTTTTAAAAAATTAGACATTGAATTTTGCAATTACATTTTGATTTTAACATGGACTTTTGCTGCGTATGGCACCCCATAAATATGTATGTGTGCATGTACAGTATATATATGTATTCTTTACGAAGTGGACTTTTAAAGTTCAAAATGTAAAGTGGAAAGATAGTTTGTGTTTGTGTTAGTTACACACAGTAAGCCATTTATAAATTTCATGTTCAAAACATACGATAATATAGAAATTGTAATTGTTGCCTTTTTGTAGGGAGTATTTCTTTTTACCAAACGGTCCACTGATTAATCTCAGATAAGATAGTATTGAAATGCACGCTATCGTGTCATACACGATGGCGTGCATTTCGATACATGGAGTATGTATTATACTATCGTATTTCTTTTTGTATTGTATCTTTTATGTAGACATCAACTGACCAATCATCTTACCAATGTCTCCACCATTCCTGGTCTGTTGTTCCTCAACAGCTTGACCCCTTGCACTATGTCTACTATCTGCTCTTCATTTACTTTACGAAGACTAGACAAGGTAGCACAGAAAACTCCAGTACGACCCACACCATCCCTGTAGTAACAAATATAATTTCAAATAAGTTAACATCATTTATTTCACTCAACACAAGGCACACCATTTTGAAGTGAAAATTGAAGTAGGTCTAACAGCAAAGGACAAATACTAATAACAATAAAACATTAATATTGTGAAAGGCAAATTTTTCCTTTTGCAATGTTCCAATTTAAGCAACCTTAAATTTAAAACATTCAATAATTTCACAAATCATCCATGTATTTTAGGTTAATACATGCAACGGGTACCTTCGGTCTACCGCAACTTGCGGGAGTCTCCGGGAAATCGGCATGGCCTCCTACACTCCCGCAAGCAAGCAGGAATCTCTCGGAAAATAATTCATCTTCTGCAAATTCATAACATTTAGATTTTTTCAATGCCGATGGGTAATCACTATGTGCAGAAAAATGGAATTAGATGGGTTTAGTTAACTTCATTTAACCATATCTACTGGAAGTGACCTCTTCCAAGTTGGGACCCCTAAACACAAAAGCCATAAATGAATTTCCAATGTCTATAGGTTTTCTGATGTGGGAAGAAAGTCTTGGCAAGGCTTTAATGCTTGGAAAATCTGAAGGGAGCAGACGAAGGCGACGTCAGCATACACGATGGATGCAGGAAATCACCACTAGAACAGGAAAGAGTCTTGCCGATCTAAAATACCTGACACAGTCAAGATCTTTGTGGAGGAAAATCATGCTTGATGTCACCAGAGGACCAAGTAGTTTTTGTTTTTTTATTTTTTATTTATTTAAGATTTGTAATTACTGTATTAAATACATTAAATTTTAATGTTTAAGATTAGTCCGGTGGCCTTATTACAGGCCTTGGCCTCCTTAGCTGAAATTAATTAATTTGAATTTAAGGGTAAATTGATTTATAGTTGTCTCAGATTGATGTCTGGAGTCCAGAACTTTCCAGTACCATCATCTTTAGATACATTAAAGAGGAAAGAGGTATAAACTGGCTAAAACATACTTACATGCACATAACAACAACAGGTGGGTCTCCAAATTCTGATTGCTGCTTATTTACTACAGTAACAAGCTGCAGAAATTCCTTTGAAGAGGTTGGAGTATACTTCTCTGCGGGCCAACCAAGGTACTCAAAGATCTTAACATTTAAGGATCCTGAGTTCTTTGATACGAAAAATGAAACATTCATTATTTATCTAGATTGCAGAAAACAATTAATGTTTGGAAGCATCTGATGATGAATACTGGATGTTTAATGTGTTAGTTTAAAATGAAATGAATGTTATGCACTAATAAATGTTATTAAATATTAAAGCTTGGTTCCCATTTGCAGAAAAACGCAACCCAACATACGGAAAATTAAATATACACTTCTTACGTGACGCAACGTAACAAAATGGATAAGGTTCCCACTTGCAGCGGTGTATATGCAATGATTTTCACTGGAAGCTTTCAAAAACCGCTATGAAATTACTATTGATTGTAGGACTACCAATGTATTGTAGGGTAGGGACTGAGTTTTGTGTTCTGAATATTACTTATTGCAGGCCTGGCTAGGTTAGGCCTGTAAGTTAATGCATTTTTTAATTGATTTTTGCTTTTTAGCTATTACTGTAATGATAGGCCTACCCTGAAGAAAAAATAATTATTATAAACAATTATCAATTTTTCGCAGAGATAAGCCCCTAGATTAGGCCTGGTCCATTTAATAAATACACAGATATACAAATTTGTTAAATTGGGACCACAGAAAAGTGGTCTTTAATTGGAGGGAGACCTGTAATTATTAACATAAACAGTATCTATTGTATTAAGCTGGTTTTCCACTAGATGAATTTGTTGGCGCGAATCAAGGCGTCGGTTCACTTCCTGACCTCTGATTGGTTGCGCAATTTTTCGCTTCGCAAAAACTCCGATAGGAATGTGCATAAGCCGACGCTTTGGATTCGCTTGAATGAATTTGCCTAATGGAAAACAGGCTTAAATAACAGTAATTAATTTATTAATTTGGCATATTAAATTTAATATTTAGTTACAGTACATTGTTTGCTTAATGTTTAATTACAAATTGCATGACATTTTCATGTGGTTGCAAAATCTAGGATTTAAAGTTGCAGATCTGTATAACAAGTAGGCTTAAATATATTTCCATAACATGATTAAATAATATACATTAAAACAACAAAAGTAAAAAGCTAAAATGACAGTCAAACATAGTGCTAGACTCAGACAAATAGTTAAATTATTGTAATATCAGGGGTGGCGCCAGGATTTGCCCAGCGGGTGGGGAATATCCGATGTCCCCAAGTAGGTGTGGTGGGACGTCACTCAAAATCTCTTGGAAGTTTTCCAGGGACGAAGCTCCCAAAAATATGACAGTTTAGGGGTTTCAAAAGCTCACTTAATCAATTTTAGATTCTACTAGTAGGCCTATGTTGAAATACATTTTTTTTTTCTCCCTGATGACTTGTGGTTTTTCTTCCTAACTGATGGGGGGGGGGCGCAGATCTCCTTCACAAGGGCCCTTCCCCCGGTCCTCACTGGCATCACCCCTGTGTAATATATAAATAGTTTTCGAAGAACGGTTGGGTAAGATGCGTTGAATAATTAAAAAATTAATGTTTACAGTATCATAGGTCTACGCCATGCAGTAGGGGAGCAGTCACAGTGTCTCTATATCCATAAACTACATGTAGGCCAGGCTTGGCTAGGCCAGGCTGGGCCAGGATAGTCTAGGCTATGACAATAATAAGAGTAATAATAGCAGCAACATAACAATTATCACAGCAATAATAATAATAATTATCATTTAATTGGCAATGGCTTGGGCGATGGCAACAGTCAAGGTGACAGATAACTCATCAACAAAAAGTAAACACCAAGCACTAATTACAAATCCCTCCGTTAGAGCATGTACAAATTAGCTTTTTCCGTGCGTTTGCGGTATTGCATGGTGTAAAGTTGAATCAATTCAATGGTTTGGTGCAGCGATTTCCATTCAGGTTGTGAACCTTGTTGTCGAGGATTTGAACCACACAACCATTCTCAGCTGGCCATGCTTAGTTACCCCAGCTTGCTCTGTTGATGGGTTGTGAAGTGGCTCTTGCTATGTTTCAGTATTTCGTGGCTTATAATAAATCAAATAAATATTGTGGCCGCCTCTCATCAATATTGATGGTAACATCAAGCCTGATATACCAAGATATACAATAAAACAAAAAAACCACGCAAACCACGCAAAGACAATCCGCAAACAATGCAAAACAAGTTTGCGTCATCGGTTCCCACTCGCGTTGCGTCACTTTGTGTCGATACATCATGTTTGCATCGTTGCCTTGTGTCCTAGTGGGAACCAGCCTTAAAGAACTTGTACATGATAAAAGTGTCATGGCCATTATTATTTATCAGCACCAACCACCACCTAAATAAAATGAATTTTTTGAGAATTTGCTGCAACATTTCAGCAACTGAGGTGAATCATCAACAGCAGAAACATCATCTAACGGTAACATTTACAAACTTACTGAGTGACACCACATTTCAAACTTTAAAAAAATTACAGAAAAATCGGATGTATTGTTTACATGGAATATACTTTAGCATGAGATATGGCAGATGCAATGACAGATATCAAGCAAGAGTGTAAAATATGACACTTTCTATCAATATGGAGATGTTCTCCAGGCTGCCGAGAACATAGTGGAACCATTGTATGCCACAAACTTGCTAAGCTTTATGATGCATTTTTGGTCAAAGTATGATTATTAGGGTACATTCACACCAAATCTGAATTTTTGGATCGTAAAGCCTACAGAACCGGTCAGAAATTTGAAGCATCTAAGAATAGGGATGGTGGTGTTTAGCACACTGGAACGCAGTCCCAATTTCGGTTTGGTTCCAATGTGAATGTAGCTTAGACTGGTTGTTATGAGCCTCCAGCTACAATATTGGCAAAAGGGATGGGAAATCAGTGTGCCTGCCCAATGTGATTTTCTATTATTGTTCTCGGCAACTCTGGTACTGCATTCTCCAAGCATGCAGAATAAACAAAAAACAAACCCACCACCACAAATAAAGAAAGGAAACACAAAGAATGAAGGAAGGTGCAACCATCAGGCTTGTTGCTCATTTTTAGCCACTAAGGAAACACAAATGCTGTAACAAGAAACACAAAGATTATAAGAGCAGAAACAACAAGAAATGCTACTCTATAAAAAGAACATTAACAATAATTTGTTAGAAAACTATTAAAAATAGCTTGCTTTAAATCTTGCAGTTGAAAGTTAAATTTCTTTCATTTTTATTTATTATTTGTGAGCTACATATTCAGAAGCTCTCTCCACTTTCTGAACAAACTTGATTGTTTAAGGATTTTTTATTTATTTGTTATCTACTTATTTGTCAATAATTTCAAGTAATAATTATGCATCTTTAGAAAGGAAAACTTTTACTTGTCCTAACTTTCAATAAGCTATTAAAATGCTGATTTACATTTTAAATTTATATTAGCTCAAATAATAATTTAAAAAAATAAAAATATTAGAATAGCATATGTTTATTTGTAACATATTGTTACTACGGCAGAGCACTTAGAAGCTAGTTGAAATAAGTTTTAATTCTAAAATGGTAGAAACATGCATTATAGCCTTGCAATATGCACCAATTTGTAACTCTTTGAACCTGAAAGCCTGATATACTGTATGGGGCTACATACATCTTTGTCTGTAGACTCAGTTCAATTGTGAAATCCTATAAAAAAACATGTAGTTATGTCTCTGTACTGCCTGCTGTTTTCACTTCGCAGTAGGATTGAAAAGATGGTGAGAATTTAGGGTGATTAACTCAAGGTGCTTTACTATTTCTATGCTGACATTTATATATATTTTAATTATAATATATATATATTTTTTTTTATTTTTTTAATTACATTTCGCTGTAAAAAACAAAGCAGATACATGGTCAGCAACGAGTGTGGTTTCAAAACTGACTTGGATTTCTTCTTTTTTCCAATTACATATGCTCAGTTGTTTTTAAGTGCATCGAGACCCTAGGCCTATAGTAATTTGCACGGTATAAATACATAGATATTGCATATTGTTATCGATACTGTAAATAAAATTAATTTGATTTAACAATTTATTTCTACAAACAAGCTACAAATCTGCTCATTTTCCCTTACCTCCTCAGTCTTCATTATATCAACTGTGTGAACTATGATCTGTTTGGATAAATTCTCACTCGTCACCATATTAACAGTCAAATGCCTGAAAGTAAACTGTGAACTATTTTCTGGCCAGAATTGTGCAACAGTCTGCAAAAACAAACATTTAACAATACGTAAATGGGTACCTGTTTAAATGCTGTGGCACTAAATGCATAGGCATGTGTGACAAAAGCACAAGTCAACAGAGCACTACACCAGCAACTTCAATGGGCCATTCAATGGATAGTAGCAGATTAGAGCCACAAAATTCTTGCACCTTGTGTGAACCACTGCACAGGCCATTACTATTCAAGTTGGGGTATTTGGGGTTGAAGATCACATGAAAATTTAAGGGGGCCAGCACCCCTCTTCCCTACATTTTTGAAAATTTAGGAAAAGAAATATTAACAAAATTATACTCAAATTAAAGGCTGAAAGTAGGGAGTTTTCGATTTGTGCAACGGCGCGACACTAGAACGGAATCACTCATGCGTGACCGTCCTACCTGGCATCCTACGTTCTCTGCATACGTAGATTTGGCCAAATTGCATTCCAAAATCTGCTCGACGAGGTGACCTTAACGTTCTCGCATGCGTAGATGACTTTTAGTGACGTCATTACGTTCTACGTCCTACCGTCGTCGTGCAATCGAAAGCTCTTTAGTGCCATTTCCAGTACTCTAAGGTACCATAACCATAAAATTTTGCACCTCATTCCCAACAATAGTGGGGCTGTAATGGTCTAGATATTCCAGCTGTAAAGGTCCCTCTATTTTTTCCTGGATTCACCACACCATTCAAACTTCCATCTAAAAGATTTTGAACCAGAATGCAAGCTTCTGCCCTAAACAACACTAAATACCTTGTGAAAAATATTTAAAATATACAAATTTATTCCATTTCCTTGCTGTCGGTCTAAAGAACTTGTAGCAAAGTTTAAAAAATATAAATTTAGACCAGAGAGAAAATATTAACCCTTTGAAGTCACGGTCCATATAATATACGGACCAATTTACTGTCGCAGAAAACCCGCTCCGAATTATATACAGACTTACTTTTAGTGCTGCTGCCCTCTATTTAATGAGTAATTTAGGGGATTTCCGTATTATTGCCGCAACTGGACGTGCAGAAGCATTCAAAGTGGCCAAATCGGAAGCAATCATTCAACGTCAGTGATGCACTTACCCTTATTTTAGCGGATGATGACAGTGGGGCTTAATGGGCCTTAGTGGCCTTGGTAAAAGTCAATTGGGACTTCAAAGGGTTAACAATGGTAAAATATAACAACAGTTTAATAGTAACGGTAATAAAAATAACAATACCTACGGAAAACTATAAGTTACCTTATCCCGATTGTAGAAATCATTAAGTGTAACAATAGCTTTTGAGTTGTAGTCAGCAATCATTCTCCAGAAGTCTTCAACAGTATTCCTCATGGGAGCCTGAGTCCCAAGAAACATATCCTTCTTATCAAAACTCTGCAAAAAAAAAAAACAATCAAATATGTATTATAACATACAATTCTTTGAAATTAAATATTAAATACTGAGAAATGAAAAATGTCTAATTGATATGTGTTACTCACGTCAAAAAACGAAGCATTGATATAATCGGATGGCCCATTCTCACCAGGGGTCATAATGAATGGCCGATTACGGTCATCTACAAAGAAAAATGACGGGCAAATTTAATGGATTATAGAAATTATAATATTTTCCTTTAAATAGTTAAAATTTAATTTCATATATTGCATACTAAAAGGCTATCACAATACAATGGGATAATTAAGTCACTTATCACCAGTACCAAGTTAGCACCCAGCAAATTTATGTTTTATTTTACAGTTTGAGAAATCTTTAGTCTCACAATGGCCATAATGTTGTCAGTTGTGAAAATACTATTACTATTATTCAAATTAGATGTATTCACAAAATACCAACCCCATCACATCTTCAGATGGCATCTTAGGGAGTTAAGTTAGAGGAAGCGGTTTGGCGCAGTGAGAACGGTTTGGTTTCCCAACCCTGAGGTTGGTGTTTCAATTACTCGCTGTGCATTTCGCTTGTGTCCTTGAGCAAGGCACATTATCGGCATTGATTCCTTCCACCCAGGAGAATAAATGGGTACCTGGCGGGGTTGCCTGCTACTGCGCCAATATGGCAGCAACATTTAAGCATGTGGACCCAACGACTAGCGACAACAAAGCGCTTTGTAACCTAAAGGAATAGTGCTATGGCTACGTTCAGACCTGTGAGATATGCCAGGCGTATCTAACGCCGGGCGTACGTTAATCCATGGCGTAACTAGCGAGATGTCCAGACTGGTCGATTAATGAACGCTAGCGTAATTATTCAAGCAAAATATTCGTATTCGTAATTCGCGCATTTTATTTTCTGTTTACATCTAGGTTTATTTTGATTGGTCAAATCTTGGCTGAGTTCAAAATCACCGATGCATGACTGTCGTAAATCAGTGGCGTACGCTAATCTGGGGTCTGTTGCTGGATTACC